GGAGGGCGAATGTTCCATCAATTTTAATGCAAAAGATGTGTATAAGAGACAGATATTATATCTCTGACAGTTGTAGGGCTATATATATATAGCCCTACAACTGTCAGAGATATAATATAATGTAGCACTAACTAACTCACGTCATAAATGCCATGCTGAGACACAAGAGTACACAGAGCGCCCTTGTCATTTCTTTGCCGTGGAGTGGAGTCCTAAAAGAAACAACAAAGTACATTAAATTCAAGTCAATTGAAAAAACAATTCAGCGTAGTGTTGTGTTTTGCTAAAGTAAACACTTATCTTGCAAACCCACTATTATAGGGGCGTGTTTGTGAGTGTGTGACCTTTATGGTCTGTCGGTATGACATTTACCACAGTTAACACTTCTTTTTATGAAAGAAAATAAAAAAAGGCTTCTCCATTGAAGGGATATCCTTCATACGATTATAACGAAGAACACATGTTGTGATTGAAATATTCTTTAATAATATGATGGTTTTATATCACGGTTACTATCTCTCTTAATTACTTTTTACTGTATTTTAAATATTTTTAGTGTTGTACTTCATTGTATTGTAATGTAATTACTTGTATTTTAATGTGAAGTGTGTACCTTAACTGGTGCCATATCAGATCCTTTAAAATCCTAATAAATTTCTTAATGATTCAAGATATTTAATGAAATATGTGATGTTTTTTTTTAAATTGTTTTCACTGTATTTTAATGTTTTTATAATTTTCTAGTTTTTTTTGTATTTGTGTTTAATGTAATTTTTGTATTCTACTGCGTTTTAATGTTAACGTTAATAATGTGTGCCACTTTGTTTATGTTGCTTCGTATTATGTCTACAGCTTCAAGCTGTATTCTACTAATTGCTGAGTTTTTCAATATATTTATTTATTGTTTTTATTAACACTGCGAACATTTATAAACAAGTACAGTATGACATTCAACGCTATCTATCAGGTGTGTGAAACAGGGATTTAAACGACATTTACGACAATATACCTTTCCGGAATGTCAATCAAACTTAACAACTGACTAATCAGAACAGCGCTAGGAATACGCGCGCGTCTTACAAACACACGTGTTGTCCCACAAACGCACGTGTTCGCGTATGTTTTAACACTGCTGACTTGTGGGACCTTAGCAACAATATCCAAGGGGCGGAGCTTAGCGGAAAGGTCCATTAAACAGCAGGGCCGGAATAAATTGTATTTGCTGCGTAGCATGCACTATAAACACAATTCAGCTGAATGACGATGCGAGTTATGGGTTACTCTCCTACTTACATCCACATAGTACTCCTATATTGGAGCATTTGTGTTATAACTTCTCTGTATATGCATATATAATGAAATAGATAAGGTAATTAATTATCATTCAATCGATTATTTTACTTAAGACAATGTCCATATCAATTTACAAAACAAATAAAAACGTCTACAAATATTTTCGATCATAGGTCTCTTCCGATGGTACAAACAATAGATAGCTATCTTCATATCCAATGTCAATTGATTTTTTTTGTTTTTGTTTTTCGAGACAATCGTTCCGATCAATGTAAATAATTAGTAATAATATTAAAATTACTGACTTTTTTGTTTCACATAAAATGTCATAAGAACTAATTTCATTAAAAACTATGTTAAAAAAAAACCGTATACCTTAAATGTTTAGCTTATCAGAACTGTAAAAACCGATATACAGTAGAACTGTCTTCTTACAGTAATTCAATAGGCCTAACTCTTCTAGTGGCAGTAAACATACTAATTAGTCCGCCGATAGGCTAGGAGATGCATACGTTTGGCAACTTGTACAGTTTATTGATCCAAATGTCATGTTTATATTGTGCTATTTGTATATAATTATCGACTGATTTCCAGTACAAACATGGCGTGATCCTGCCAGCGTTTAGGCTGTCCGAATATTATGTAGCAAAAAGAAGAGTAATAGTAGGCATACCTATTAATTCATGAGAATTAAAGAACTAGCTTTTCTTACCCGTCTACGACGGGAGAAGAATAAAGTTTATTTTATGCAATATCACGATGCTTAAGTGGTTTATACTTTGATTAAAACAAGCAAATATTAACAGCATATAGAAACACTAACCTGGTAACTCAGTGTGCGTGGTTTGAAACAAAAGTTCCTTCTTTTCAGAAGTACCGGTAAAGAGTGAAAATTCTTAACTAATTATTTAACACACTGTCTTATTTGCATAAATGTGTACCACTAACAAAACCAAATGAAAATAATTCTGGTCTTCTATTGTTACTTTATTAGTATGCTAATTAGTGAAATGTTATGTCAATTCCTTCTTCCACCGACAAAATACTATACAGCTTGAATAAACGCCCGATCTAGAGCCTCATTGGGAATAAACACCTCTCTCGAATAAACGCCCGTTTATTTTTTACAAGTAAATATAAGGTAGACCTAATTCTTAATGTACCCTGGCTCGAGAGTAATCGCCGACTTGGTTAACTAATTGTAACCAAATTATTAGGCCGATTTTTTTTTTACTGATAACCTAATCCATAGTAAAACCAACCCGCGGCGAACATCATCCCGTGCCGGCCCGAAGCTATTCAAGAAAGTGAATATGTACAACTTTACAGGGCATCCTATTCTTATCGGTATGACTCAAGAAAATGTTTGGCCTCTGATTGCCAGGGAAGCACTCAGGTTGAAACAGGACACATAATGACCAGATCATGATGTATTGCGTAAATGGAAAATAAAATGTTGAAGATTTCTTATCAATGACAACTAGATGAATCAATATTATGCTTAAACCATCATGAATGAATACAGTGTAAGAAATAAACACGATATAAATAACAATACTTGATAGGAATGGTGTTTTCCTCTATATGACGTGTTACAGTACTAATGCTAAGTAGTACCAAAGATAATAAATAGCAGAAGATAGGGCAGCTTTCCAATATAGTGGGAACATCCGTTCAAATGGCATTGTGGGTACACGGAGATCAATTTTACCTCATCCGCGCGGCGGCGCTATATAGCAATAATAAAGGCGCCGTTCTGGTTCGTTTGTTTCCTGTAGTTTCTCCACTTTGTAAAATGTTCAAATTTACCTCACCCGCAGGAGGGCGAATGTTCCATCAATTTTAATGCAAATACGTGGAGCAGCTCATTCTTCTGCCATTTAAGTTCTTAGTAAGTACCCAAATACTAGAAAAAAAAAAAAGAATCTCGCAAGTGATTCGTGCGGGAATCGAATCCACAACCTCCAGAAAATTAGCCTGGTGTTTACGACCAGACCACAGACTTGCGCTTAATGGCTAGTGCTAAATCCGATCACCAAAGTATTGCAATGCAGCTCCGTTGGTGTTTGCGTCAGGGAGATTTACAGTAATACATATTTTCCCCCTCATTTCGGAAAAGTGTAGGCCTACCCTTAACAGCTAGGGTTTCCCTTAACGGGGTGTTTTATAAGGAGGGCTACTGTCTGAGAATAAACATGTCACGTTGGAATATAAAATTATTACATATACAACTCTGTATAGGGGAGTAACAATATAACATTCATTAAAATTACAGTAAAAAGTGTACTTTTTAATGTACAAAATAGGCCTACAGGATCCAACGCTTAACGATTACCTTGTATTATATTACCTTGTAGGTTTGCTTATTGTTGTAAAATGTATTGGCCTAATAAGTGTATTGAAAACTACATCACACACAAAAAAAAATATCATCATCAATCAGAGGAACGAAACATAGCCTAATGATGACGATTATTGGATGATGTACCAACGATGATGATAGGTGGGGTGGGAGGAGGACTTACAACGATAATGTAAGCTACGGTATTTGATTTAAATTTCCTTTTAAATAAAACCGAAATTGCTTACTTTTTTTTAAAGGCAGGGCCTAATAGTTTTGTGTGAAACAAACCTGGACTGGATTTTAAAACAGGAAGCAATTTGGGTTTTATTTAAAAGGCAATTCAAATCAAATAACTAAATGAAAATCGACGAAGTTTCTGAATCATGATAAAATTTAGCGTTAAATTACCTCGATTTCAAATACAGTAACTTCAACAACATAGAACTGAGGTGCAATGATAACACGTCCTTTTCAACACCTGAAACTGAATTTTAGAATCCAATCCTAGAGCTAAGATCCGTACTAAATGACCTATAAATGATTAACGGAACTGTATGTGTATCCTGTTTGGCTTTGTACAATGACTTAGTTTACCATATCATAAGATGGATTAGAAGTGGATTGGAGGCAAGAAGACTGACAGAAACAAAAACATATTTGGGAGTGCCACCCTTTTCAATCTGCTTAAGTTTACGATAAGTCATGTATTGTGTATCATAGCGTTTGTATCACTCACTGTCTATTGGCACACTACATATACACCCCTCACGTAACATTCAACGTGCAAATTTTACACCCATTCTTATAATAAAAAACGTTCAGATATTCATACACTCATACAACATCGCGTTATCTAATTGAGTAAACATTATTTTAGGCCTACAATTTCCAACTTGCACAATTTATACTCTTTTTTAACGTCCACAGTCCACATGTTAGAGACGGTGAGGACAGTGTTGAATAGACACGGGTGGCGAGCCACTTAAGTTATTAAGTTATTTTTTCTTGTCCTATCTTGTAATCCCGGCCCCGAAAATGAGACTCAGAAATTTTGGGTTAGTGGCCGGTGGGGAATAGTTATTTTGACTATATTGAATTTGTAGCTAAGTGAATGTAGTTAAGCACAATCTTGTAATTCCTTACCCAGAAACCTAGAAACGCCACTCATGATACCGGGTTGCAGTGGCGTATTTAGAAGTCTTGAAATTGGTGCTGATGGG